GAGTTCGAGGCCAGCCTGGTCTCCAAAGCGAGTTCCAGGAAAGGCGCAAAGCTACACAAAAGAAAGTGGAACATCAACCATCATTCCACCTCTGCTTCCTGACTGCGAATCAAGTCTGACAGGCTCACCACACCCATGCCACCACAGCTGGAGGCACTCTTACTGCCACACTCTCTCTGGTATGGTGGACAGCCCTCTTAAAACTGTGAGTGGAATGCGGTCTCCCTTCCTTAAGCTGCTTTGGGGGTTGGTATTTTGCCACAGCAATGACAGAAGTAACAAGCACACCTCTCATCATCGCTCACTTTCCTGTTAGTCTTTGCGAATGTATCATTTCATGATTTCAAATGCACACAACCTTAGCTTCATTGGGGAATGGACACCAGAACTTGCTGTTACTGTGACCCTGTAGTAATCTCAAATTTATTTTGAAAAATTTTGAGAAACATGGGATCACCTGTTAATTTTGCCATTCTTGTGTTTCTTCATGTCACTGCAGTGGCAGCCTTCATTTCTCTGGTTGTGTCTACAGTTAGATAAATGTTTTGCTATGAAGTGTGATTCACGTCTCCTGTTCCTATAGTTAATTCCTGACTATGATCATGCTAACACTGCTGTGTTTCTTAATCTTTCTCTGTGTATGTGTGTGCACCTGTGGGTGGACAGGCATGTGTGGGAGGCATGTGCACCTGTGTATACATGTGTGTGAGGCCAGACATTGACAGGGAATGTTTTCCTCAATTGCTTCATCACCTTACTTTGAAATCATAATCTCAGTCTCTTGGTGGGCCTGGAGCTCACTGGTGCACTAGACTGACTGTTGATCTCCAGAGGATCTCCTATCTCAACATCCCCAGCTCTGGGATTACAGGTGTGTATCGCTGCCACACCCACTTTTCACATGGGTGCTGGGATCCAAACTTAGGGGATTATGCTCATATGACAAGCATATTACCAACTAAGTCATTGTTGTAGCATTTGTATATAATAAATGGAGAAGAAGCTCTTGGGAATTATCTACTTTAAATAAGTGAATATTTATGGGTTCTGAGCTTTGTTTAATCCTATAGAAATGGATACATTTTCTGATTCAGATGCATGGCTACCTTATTGGTTTTGTGTACTACAAGATTTGTCATAGTTTTTTTTTTTTACTAAAATTTTATAGTGTTTCGTGGCAATTCTGCTGGTCAAATGAGTTTGTCTTTCTACTCACAAATACTGTTCAAAATGGTATCATCACAATAATGTTCTTTACAAAGGATCAAAACTTTTATTGTATTTTGAAAAGATGAACATTCCTGGACTTTGGATCTCCTATCCACAAATGGCATATTAATATCCCCATTGAAAGAACTGAAGGATTAAACAGCAGGTATGGAAATACTCAGAAAAGTGAAGTGTAATATCCACACACAATGTATGATATGACCATAACTATTATTTTTTCTTTGTGTGTCTCAGCTACTTAATAATATTTATTTACAGATGATAAGAGGATGTCATTTTGTTAGGAAGTAACTGTTTTCTTTCTTCTCGTTTCCTAATTAATTAAACATTATACTCAAACTTACAGAGAATTTGGTTTTTCTAAAACATTTCAGTCAAACAAATAATAACAGATTCTCATTGACACTAAGGGATTTTCTCTGTTGAAAAGCTAGATAAGAGTAATATATACAGAATCATCAAGTCTGCAAAGTAGATTTTAATAACATCATTTTCTATAAAGCACCATCGAACTGTGGAATGGAGCTATGGACATTGAACAATCTTCACCACATCAACCTAAACTAGTTAAAGGAATTTGAGGTTTACACATGGCCACATAAGCTATCAAATAAAGAGAAAGCCTACTCATGTATGTGTGGAAGATAAATGCTGTATTAAATTAAATATGAAGCCGTAATTATTTTGTTTATCTTGTTTCTCAGCAAGCATGAAAGGAACGCCTCGTTTCTCCTAGGATAATACACAGAGGGACTCAGAAAGCTGAGCACGTCAAGACATTCTTTTTCAACAATACACAGAGTTGCATCATGGTCTGATTCAATTTGTCATTTGTACATGAGTCCTCTGAGCAGATAAAGGAACTCTTGAATTGGTACAGGGTAAAATGAGGCCATCCTTGTATAGGGCTTTGGAAATAAAGGCTTTTTCAGAATGTGAAATATCACCAGCTTTTCATAAAATGGAGGTGCACATTTAGTCTTTCCTAACTTGAATAGAAGGTATGAGACACACAGCCTATGCATTAGCATCCCAAAATCGTTTTACTAGAATTTTAGAGAGCAGAACATTTAACCACTAAAATAGAGTCCAGTTACTCACTACATGTTCGTTTCTGGCCTTTCTTTTTAATATTTTTGATTGCTTGACAGTTTATTTTATTCAATTAAACAAATTTTAGTTGTTTTCATTTTCATCCCCTCCCTCTCCTACTTTCTTCTCAACAAGTCTTCCTTATACTTTCATTTCCTTTTTGTGTGTGGTCCACTGAGCTTTAACTGGGGCTTCCTGTCTGTTAATTAATTGCCTATAGTCCCTCAGGAAGAGTTGGAGCTTCATGGGCCTCTTCCCCATTCCTGATGAAATTCTGGCAGGCCCAATTTTACGTAGGTCTTGTGCAGATAACCACAGCTGCAGTGAATCCATGAATGCAATGGCTTCATCATGTCATGTCTAGAAGACCTCTTCTTGGGATGCAACTCTCTATCTTCTGGCTCTTACATTCCTTCCACCCATCTTCCTCAGTGTTCTGTGGTCCTTGGGAGAGGTTCTAGAGCTGTCTATTTTGTTGTTTCACCCTTAATGAAGTTGGACTAGACAGCTTTTATTGGCTCTCTGGGAACTCTTGGGTTGAGTGCTCCTCTACTAATCTCTCTACTATGTTGCTCTCTTGCGTGATCAGCTTAGCAGCTTTTCCCCACTGTACTTAATTCTAGAGAATCACATGTATTATGCCAGCTAGGCACTCTGTCACTAGGGGCTACACTTTTTACTTTGAGGCAAGGTCTCACTGTGTTGCCAGGATGGTCCTGTGCTTCTTCACCTGCACGTCTTTAATAGCTGAGACAGTCTGAATTTGCCACTGTCCTACCTCAACCTCGGAGTAGCTGAAATTACAGACGTGTCCCACCAGGCCTGGGTATGTAGTGGCTCTGTCCGTTCACCTTGTCCTCAAGCTCCCATTCCACTGTCATTGGTGTCAACAGATAAACCTCCAGTTTAATGGACAAGCAGACATCATTAGCCATGAATTCTCTAAACCTTTTGCCCCTTTATCTCTATATTTATATTTCTTCTTTTACTTGTTTCCTCTTTGTCCTCCCTAAAGAACACACTCCCGGCCTCTACCACTTTTCCAGAAACTGTTTCTTGAGCTCAAGATCCTATTTGTCTAAGTAACTCTTTATCTGTAATCCTTTTTCTGCCTGATTTTTAGTCTCTAGCTTTTCGACCTTCACTCAACTCAAGTGTTATTAATTTTAAAGTTTTTCTCTTGAATTTATTTCTTCCTTAGTCAGCTTTAATTCTCTTACTCCCCTTTCTCACCAATTTTCTAATATGTATTCGCTGGTTTAGAGAACCACTTTCAATGCATTCTCCAACCTATTGGGCTTCTAACTCCATTGTCTGATTAGGGTGCTTCACTCAAATGCTATCTAAACACCTAGTAATTATAGAAGATAACTGACCTTTGCATTTCTTCTAGTCTGGTGGACTGTTATTTCTCATCTTTGTTCTTCCCTTGCCAACAACTGTCAAGTTTTTTCTATACTATTCTATAAATGCTGAATCCACTATGCAGTGTCTGGCATTATATTGTCCACTCTCTGTCCGGTTCTTCACGTAAATACTACTGTCATTTATTTACTTAGTCAGGGTCATAATTATGGCACTCCTTTTGTTTCTTTTTCTCTACCAGCTACACCCTCCCTCCTGCTTACATGCACACGCGTACACACACACACACACACACACACACACACACACACACATACACACACACACACACACGTGCACACACACATACACACACGTGCACATACACATACACACACACATACACACACACACGTGCACACACACATACACACACACACACACGTGCACATACACATACACACACACACACACACACACACACATACACACACCCTTACAGTTCTGTTGGTAGGCCTTGTGCCTCTTACAATTGGACCAATCTCTTTGCTGTACTCTTACTTCCTTGATCTAGATCTTCATCACATGTGGCCGATTGTGTTTCTGTGAAGTTTGATATGAACCCCTTCCCTTTTATCTCTTCAATGCACATATTAAGTGAGACTAGGAACCTGTGCGGAAAATTTCCTCAAAGCAGAAAGAATATAAACAGTATAGTAAGTTTACAAACAATGTGCTTGGGAAATGAGTTGATAAGCCCCATATTATCTACAAACTGTTAGTTTTAATTCATTTCTAATCTGCACCATGTCTTAAATGAACTCAAGTATAATATTGCCTCTGGTGATTTATGTTCAAAACTGGTTTAATTTGTACAAAATCCCTGAAAGATTTGTCCAGTTTCAGGTCTATACACATGTCAATTAAGATATAGTCAAGACACTGTCCATCCTAACATCATAGGGGTCTCCAACCCAAATTTAAGGCTTTTTTTTTTTAATATTAGAAAATATTCCTGTGGTTGAACATCTAAAACACAAGTCTTACATAAATATAAACTGATGTTTTAAGTGTAATTTTCCATTAAACATTTAATTCTACTTTTCCCAAACAATACATTTTCTGAGAAAACGTTTCTTCCTTTAATTAAGAGTGATAGTGTACTCAAGTTAACTCTATTATTCATCTTCAGCTTGGATAATTTTATTCACTTTCTGTACCAAAGGAGGATGAAACAGTTAGATGAAATCATTTATGCCATCATCCACTCAGAGATGTATTTGGTCAGGCTTGTCCTAGGTTCTTCTCCCTTTTCTGCCCACCCTTATACTCACATATCGCTGGCAATCGAGGAGTTCCTGGACATAGACTTTGGAGAGAGGTCATAATCGCTGTCGGATCGATACAAGAAGGACTCCCGGCGTTGACTGTGGACAAAGTTTGCTTGGAGGATTAGCCCAGATCCTGGGCTGGTCATGGGATCCAAGGGACTCCGTGCCGCTGATGTACCATTGTCCACATCGAAACTGTGGATAGAGGAAGAAGAATTGCATTGGTGTGTGCACTGGCATTCTAATATCTCAGAGGAGTTAGCTTGATTTGGGGAATGATGGCAAGATTTTATATCTAACTCTTGCTAGAAAAAATTACAACATTGAACTATAGATATAGTTTAGTGGTAGCATATTTGCATAGCCTGAGTTTGAACCCTTGCACTGCAAACAAACAAACAAAAAAACAAGTCCGCAATTGTATTTATCACATTGACTTGGCATTCTTATTTTCCTTGGATTTTAACAATTTATAGGCATAAGTTTTCTTAAACCAAACTTTAATTTTTAAAAAAAAGGAAGTCATTTTGCAAAAGTAGCTCTGAGCACAGAATTCCTGTTTAGAAAAGAACAAATTCATAATAATTCAGTATATATTTGAGTGTGGTTGATCAACGGCCACTGCCTAATGTCACAATTCACCTGAACCTGGGCTTCTCTCTTTTCTCACACTATACTTACGCAGACATTAATTTCTCCATCCTGTGCTGTGAATATGCATCAGCCTTTACAGTTTTCTCTTGAATCCACTTTCCAGTCTTTATCTAGTACCTTTTTACCTTCTTAAAATGCAAGGATGACCGACTGTAGCAGCCTTCAGTTGAAACTCTTTAGCAACTCACTTTGCTTCAGAATCAAACACAAAATTCTTGAATCGACTGAAGGTCTTGGATGTCCCTCAATGGCAAGCAACCACCTTCTCAGCCCAAGGTACACCCTAGACCACCAGGAACTTTGTGATCAACTCACATTGAACCAACCGTCACCCCTTCTCTCTGGCTAGTATTTCTTGAGTTGCTCTCTTGATTACCCGCCTCTCCTTTGCTAAGACAACTGACATTCATTCTTTAGGACTTAACTTTTATCCAGAAAGATTTTCTGGAGATCTGAGAGCCTTGTGAAATACCTTTCATGCTACCAAAGACACTGGCCTGTTCCTTGGCAATTAATTGAAAATGTTTGCTATTTTGCTCTTCATTTCTAGATTTTTGAGCTCTCACAAAATGGACTTTAAAGTATCTCAGCATTTCGGGAGTTCTTTCAAAAACCTTTATTGGATGAGTCAAGGACCTGTGGCTAGACAGGTTATAGACCCAAAGAGAGAACCTGCTACTATTATGCTGCCAAATGAATATAGTATTAACTCAACTCCTAGCGACTTATTGTTATGCCCATAGATTAATGCATTTCTATCTTTCATCTAAGAAACCTTTTATTTGCAATAGATGGTGACTGACATTGAGACTCACAGTGCTGGCCTACACGAACAATGCCCTGGGGTTAATTTGTAATATGTCCATATGCACCAAACACACACACACACACACACACACACACACACACACACACACACACACACACACAGTGTTGTGTCCCCGGTGTCTCAAGTAAGCCAAGCTGGGGAGGTGGGTGAATCATTGATCACATATGCATCTATGATCAAGCAACACCCGAATCAACCTCAAAGAAAGAGGGAGAAAATTACAGTGTAGTTCAGTTAATCAAAAAAACGTTTCCAACTTAAAATTTTCTCTCTCTCTCTCTCTCTCTGTGTGTGTGTGTGTGTGTGTGTGTGTGTAGGGGTGTGTGGTGGATGTACATGTTTGTGTATGCATGCAGGCCAAAGGTTGATGTTATCTCCATCAATTGCTTTCAATCTCATTTTTGAGATGGATTCTCTCATATAACTTGGAGTTTCCTGACTGATGGGGGCTACCTCACCAAAGATGGGATTACAGACACAAGCTGCCCATGACAGGCTTTTAACTTGCAAGCAGGAGTTAGGAACTCAGTGCTTGTGTGGCAAGGATTTACCAACTGAACAGTCTCCCCAACCTTTAAGATTTTCTTAGAATGATGTCATCTTATAAATGTACTTATTTGGTTCTGTCAAAACACTGGCAGATTATCTAATTAAGCATTCACTTTATAGACAAAGATGACAGGTTCTAGAAAAGCTGATTGATGAAAGTCACCGAGCCAAGATTTACTTATCTATTGTTCTCAAAGTTGTGCTCACAGAGTGCATGCTTCCATGAGGCACAAGCACGTGTCAGTAGCTGTGGACCAAACAAGAGGCATCTGACTCACTTGGGTAGGGTCATCGCTTTGCAGGCACTTTGGCTGTCCCCAGGAAAGCCAGGAAGGCAGGGTTTTTAAATCATCAAAGAGGGATATCAGGGGTATTTAGGGATGTACTTCTTGGATGTTATTCATTAAATAAGCATTTATTAAACCCTTATTACCAGTATACTGTGATTAAAAACGTAAAAGCAATAGTATTAACTCAGGCCCGGATGCCTGTGATGTTTCCATAGAGGAATAGTAACTAAAGCAGGCTTTTGGTGCTAGCCAATACACGTTTGGAAGATACTATTCAGAAGGACAGGGAGGGATGGGAGTAGGTTTTGCTTTAAGGAGACAGTCACAGAGGACCCGAGGATGGAAATGCCCTACAAAGCATCTGTGCTTGCTTCCCCTTATGTTTTTGCAGAATAATGTTAGGGTTAAATGAAACAGAAGGAAGTCTCTCGCTACATATTCTTCATGAAAAACAAAGGAGATAGGAGAGTGTGATTTCGATTTACTTTTTCTCACTTTAATTGGACCAATGCTAAATGAATCACCAAAAATCATTCATTTTTATATTTAAATACAGTATTTTTTCAGTTCAACTAAGAAAATCTTAGCATATATAGACACCCTACTGTAGTTTTTTGAAAAATATTACCAGGTATCTTAAAATATTTTTGCAATAATACTGTCTGTGAAAATTAAAACATTTTTTTAAATTTTATTTTACAATACTATTCAGTTCTACATAATAGCCACAGATTCCCTTGTTCTCTCCCTTCCTGCCCCCTCCTCTTCCCCCCAGCCCATCCCCCATTCCCACCTCCTCCAGATCAAGGTCTCCCCCGAGGACTGGGATCGACCTGATAGACTCAGTCCAGGCAGGTCCAGTCCCCTCCTCCCAGACTGAGCCAAGCGTCCCTGCATAAGTCCCAGGTTTCAAACAGCTAACTCATGCAATGAGCCCAGGACCTGGTACCACTGCCTAGATGCCTCCAAACAGATCAAGCCAATCAACTCTCTCACCTATTCAGAAGGCCTGATCCAGTTGGGGGCCCCTCAGCCTTTGGTTCATAGTTCATGTGTTTCCATTCGTTTGGCTATTTGTCCCTGTGCTTTATCCAACCTTGGTTTCAACAATTCTCGCTCAAACCCTCCTCTTTCTCACTAATTAGACTCCCAGCTCTCCACCCGGGGCCTAGCCATGGATGTCTGCATGAGATTCCTCAGTCCTTGGATGGGGTTTCTGGCCCAACTATTAGGGTGTTTGGCCATCCCATCACCAGAATAGGTCAGTCCCGGCTGTCTCTCAACCATTGCCAGCAGTCTTTTGTGGGGGTATCTTTGTGGATTTCTGTGGGCCTCTTTAGCTCTTTGTTTCTTCCTTTTCTCATGTGGTCTTCATTTACCATGGTCTCCTATTCTTGTTCTCCCTCTCTTTTCTTGATCCAGCTAGGATCTCCCTCTCTCTTTCCCTCGACCCTCGCCCTTCATTGCTCCCACTCATGTCCAGGCTGTTCATGTAGATCTCATCCATTTCTCCGTGTCTTTTTTGGGGTCCTGTTTTCCAGGTAGCCTCACTGGTGATGTGAGTAGCAGTCCAGTCATCCTTGTTCCAGCCCCTAGAACATTTATTAACTACACACACACACACAAAAAAAAAATGCCTGGTCTGAGATAAAACTATGATCTTTGCCATTTGTCTATAGATGTAATATAACACTTTGTCCACTAGATGGAGAGAATGTTCTTAAATATGGAAAACCTCTTTTAAAATAATGTGAAGGCCTAAATTACTTACTAAAGACTCAAAAAAAAAACCCTCATAAATATTACCTAAAATAATGCCTCAAATCTATTAAACTGTTTATAAATATTGATTAAAATTACACCAATCTATGAAACAACTGTGTTAGCTTTACTTTTAAATTAATTCATTTCTTTCTTTTTCAAAGAGTGATCAGATTGGTCTATAACTTATAGGCTCAAATGACCTTCCAACCTGTCCCTAGAGTAGTTGGGACTGAAGACACATACCACCCATGCCTGCATGGCTAAGAATTTGCCTTAGGACCAGGCTGACAAAGTGATGCTCAGAACAGTGACTGATGTCCTATTGAATCGTTACATAAAAAACAAACAAACAAGCAAACCAACAAAAACTCAGGAAGATATCACTGAACCTCTACAGCACATCACTGAATACATATTATGCTGGGCAAACTACCATGAATGTCAATGATAGGCTGGGGAAACCTTCTAAGTTTGGGAACACGAGTGTTCTCAGAATAGAGTTTGATTTGGGAGGTGGGCATTTGGTCTGAAGTCATCTGCATGCTAGATTTCCATTATAGTAAATGCTTCTAAAATAAAAAAAATCATTATCAAGAAAAAACAATATTACTGAAAATACCAAGTTCAAAGCATTAACAAATATCAGTAGTGGTGAATGACCTTATAGAAAGAGATTTTATATGAAGTATTTAGTGAACAAGCTTTGCAGTTCGTCTTTGTCCTTAGATTAATACTGGGGTAAATACAGATATATGAAACACAGCACTTCTCAACAAGGCATTAAATTCCAGGTAATGGAATAAAACATGAAGCAATTGTGGAATAAAGGCCAAACGTATAGCACCAGTTATAAATAGCCTAAAAATAATGAATTGGGCAACCAGATATGCCAAAAAGCAACATATATAAAGGGAGCTTAATGCATGGAAGGAGTATAAGGTCCAGGCCATGTAGAGGATGCCAGGGGCAGAGGATGCCCAGCCAGAGTGTAGCAGCAGAAGCAGACCAGGAAAGGGTGGTACGGAATGTGAGTCAAAGAAGACACAGTGTTGGGCTGTATCTATGGGCTAGCGCTGAAGAGCAATGGGGATATAAAAGTGGCAATATTG